AAATACTAAACATGCAAAAGTAATAATAATATGAACAAAAATAACTTCTACATATAAATACTTACAGTAAAAGTTTATGTTCTGCTGCAATACCAAAGCTTCAAAATTTAGTCGTACAAGCTGAAGAACATAATGGAGTAAAATAAATATTTTCAAGATTTATAGATCAACATAATGATATTTGCATCCTAAATATACAAAAAACAAAATTAACTATACCTAACTACTTACGAAAATCTTAATCATGGAACACAATTGTATTTATTTAATGAAATACTAAACATGCAAAATAATATAATAATAGAAACTAAAATAATTTTTTACATATAAATACTTACAGTAAACAGCAATGAAGGTTAAGAAATTCTCGATGATGGAATAAATTTTTCTTCACAAAACGTCTAAAGGAATCGAGATAAGTTGAATAGTAACCGACACGAAATGGATGGTAAGGTAATCAAATGAACAGTAATAAAATGAACGGTAACCTACGTGTCAAATTATTAGCGTAACTAAAGGAAGAAAAATAAAGTGCCAATTAAAGGAAGTAGGAAAAGAAGTAGGAGATACACATACATGAACAGTACAAAACCAGTTCCCAACCAGTTCGAATGTGAAATGGAGGACATGAGATGAACAGTAAACAAATTGTTGCCAAATGACAAATAAAAAAAATGACAGCCAATATTTACATTAATTGCAGTGGGCCCGTAATGAGTGAAGATAAAATGGAAATAAAATGGAAAGCAAAGCGCGCATAGTCAACAAAATCCGCAAGGCTTGTAAAATAACTGTGTACAAAATGACAAAACCAATTGATATTTAGTCTGGCCCGTATTTAATGTTACGTGTGCGAAGTGAAGAGGATGGAAAATAGGTTGCACAGATATTTTACAAAACCAGTTCCAATCCGAATTAGTGTGAATTGGACAACAGAATTGGGATCCACTCTTTTATAGGAAGTAGGATTTATGTACTGCCCTTATTCAAATCGTTTACTCCCCAGTCTCCCCTGTTTTTTTCCTTTACACAACACGCTAAACCCTAGCTCAACCATCCGGCCTCTGCATCCTCTAGAAGACGATCTCAAATCGAAAATTCAAGGCTCTTTGTTTACTCTGCTGAGATTTTAATTCTTGGGTCTCAATTTTTCTTTGCGAGTGGATATAATTTTACGAGTACATACACATACACATAGTGATAAATTGTGATTGACTTTGTGTGTAAAGTGATGACGGGTGGATCGAATGCGGTGGATGCCACAACTTTATCCTGTGCTAAATGTGGCAAACCTGCTCATCTTCAGTATGTAACCATTAGCCCTTCAAAATTTATATGATGTTTTGTAAAACATGTACTCACATTTAACTTCGTATATACAAATTTAGGTTGTTAAGATGAGTGAGTTTGTGTTTTTAGAGAGTTGTTGTTAACATTTGGGGAGCAGGGAGGGGGGAGTTGAACTTTAAAAGAAAAATGCGGTGGTAAGGATATTTGCATTTATGACTTTTTTGGCTAGGAGAATCGGTGATCGTCATTAATTTAGTCGGACATTTACTTAGAGTATGCTTGAATTTTGTAAGAAATGACTCAGAAAATGGACATTTACACAAAATGAGGGTTTGTGTTTGGAGTAACTAATGCGTACATTTTATTGATATGAACAATGTTTGTTTCTTTGTAGGTGAGTTGATTACTTAGACTGGCATTATGTAGTGCCTTTGTTTTCTAAAAGAGTCGACCTGACCTAGTTTTTGGATATTTATTCCACTTGCAGGTGCCCAAAGTGTGTGGAGTTAAAGCTTCCTCGTGAAGGTGCTGCTTTCTGGTTTGTAAAGCTGACTTGTATTTCAGAATTATTGTTATATTGGTCAACACCTCAATTATTTCATTATGTCTGTTATTCAGACTTCTGGAGAATAAAATTATTTCTTCAAAATTTGTGCATGTTTCTCATGGGAACTGTTTTTATTAGAAAGTTTAAAGTGGCACAATGCCATCACGAAACAGGTGAATAGAGCAGAATCTTGCTGTGCATTTGTGGTTCAAACAGTGCAGATCTTATCTGCGCTCTTGGTTTATGGTTTTATTGGAAACGTCGACTCAAAATTGATGAATGGACAAATTTCTTGGAACTCGTGTATCTGAAAGAGTAACAGAATAACAAAGTTTCTTAGCCTATGGCGGCTGTTTGCTGAGCTTCTCTTCATGCTATTTTATATTGATGGGTTTTAAGCTTTTTATTGATGAGTTGTTTCTTTTACCAGTACCCAGGACTGTTTCAAGGCATCCTGGAGTTCTCACAAGTCAGTTCACTCAAAGTCAATATCTTCCTCTGCACCTGTAAATCCTGGTGAACAAAATGTAGCATCACCAAATGATGGTTTGCTATACTGCTTGAGGAAAGGACAAGCTCGCTCGCCTAAACTTCCGCATTTCGAGTGGACTGGGTATTATTTCTCTTCATATTTGGTTGGATAACTTGGATTACCTTCTTGCTCCTCAACATTGTAGTATTTTTATGTCAATTGTATAAGTTCTGGCATTTGTCTCTATCACTTCTATACCTGGTTTACATATCTAGAAATTTAATCTTTATTGGACATTCTCTTATAATCGTAACATATATATGGTAAAGGGAATATATTCTTGTAATTGGGGACCTTATAATTGTAAGCACGCTCCATCTAACTTAATGTCACCAATTCAAAATGCAGCAGTGATGCTACCATCCTGCTTGGCGGTATCACATGTTCTTTTAACCTTTTGTAAGTCTTGTTTTATAAATATAGTCTTGAAAGATTCACTACTTATACTTGATCAAATAACTCTTGGAATATGATATGTCAAGAACTGCGTTGATGTCACCCCTCTACAAATTTGCTTGTCTGTCTATTTTCAATATCAGATTATTATCTTAATAGTGGATTTCTTCACTAGACTAGGGGGAGTGCAGTAAAAACTCCTTTCAACCTTTGGGAGAGTTTTCTAGCTGGTCTTCTATGGGAATTTTACCAGTCACACGATCACATCTATTGTGGCTATAATCTTTTGATTAACTTCCTCTGGTTAGTGTTTGATGTGAAGCATGCAAGTCATTGAATGCTTTTGATTTTCTCCGAACGTAGTCTTTTCCCCCCTTACATTATCATTAGTCATGCCGCATTCTGGGATTGATGATGATTATGTCATATTCTTTTTCACATATGTAATGCAATGGCCCTTCAAATAGTAATGGTGGTGTAACCTTGAGGGGTTGCTCAATTGGCCACACCTTGGGTTTGCTCCTCAATGGTCAACCGTTTGAATCCTCTTAGGGCCACTGAGTTGAGTACCCGGTTGTAAACATTAGGGTCTCGTGGGATTAGTCGAGGTGCGTGTAAGCTGATCTAGACATCCACAGTTATAAAAAAAAAAGTAATGGTGGTGCATTTCTCTCTCTTCTCACCTTGAATCAATGGTGTCTTGTTACTTTTCTGGTTGTAAACCTTTTTATGCTTGGCCTTTGTCTTGAAGTTTCTCTGTTCACTTTCCAGGTCATTAAGGCCATATCCAATATCAAAAAGACGTCCAATACCTGCTCATATAAATCAGCCTGACTGGGCACTTGATGTGAGTAACTTAATTGATTTCTTTTCAGATATTTATATATCAAATTTTGACACTTCATATGGATGGCTTATGTAGAAAATAATATTAAATGCTATTATTAGAACAAAAAATCTCATCAGTGAAATCATATAAAAGCTGTGTAGTTCATCTATCTATTTGATTGGATTTCTCTGTCAGTTTGAGGTGCACTAACATGCATCATGCTTTAATTTTACAGGGAATCCCAAAAATTGAACCCAACAGTCATCTGCAGTATCATGTTGAGGTAATCATTGATTTTGATCTAAAAATGTTCTGTCTGAATTTTTTAAAGACATTGACTGTATATTATTTTCTTTCATGGTGCAAATATTGAAGATCAAGGCTCCAGATCAAATTGAGAAAATGAGAGAAACTTGCCGAGTAAGCTATTATTTTAACTTCATAACAAGGAGAATCTGTATGCATATATACACTTCTAGCAAGCTGTATCGTCCCTTAAGGGGTTAGGTATTTGATGCATGTATTCGTGTTTGCTTGGCTGAATGCACGCTATTCATAGAATCAAAGATATATTGCGATGGGAAAAAGAGCGATAATGTAGTTGTAGATAGTTGTCCAACATGTTGCCATATTGTTTGGGGATGCCTTAGGAATACTAACAGCAGTTCATTTTAAAGTTTGGTTCTTGAATTGTCTTAATTAAAAATTTTAACTTCAGATAGCTAGGGAAGTTTTGGATGCAGCTGCTTGTGTCATTCGACCTGGAATTACTACTGATGAAATTGATGCGGTGGTTCATGAAGCTACAATTGCTGCTGGTATGTCGATTAGCGTACCTTAATTTCAGGTTTCCTGGTTTTCGGGCCTTATTTTAAATATATTTGGTAAAGATCTCAGTTGATCGTACAACATGTAAGAGCATTTATGCGGTCATATTTTATGAGATACTAAGCCTATGTTTGGCTCATTTTTATGAACGGTTTATAAACACTCAGCCGCTTTTTATCCAGAGAGTTGGAGGGACCCACAAGGACATCCCACTTATATACCACTCATTTCTATCTATTTTTAATTTAAACAGTTTATAAACACTTCCCAAACTTGCTCTAATATCCCATTGGGAGATTACTATAGATCTTATTTTGGAACTTAGCTATCCTTTTGAGCTATCCACAAATTCATTCTAGGATGGGGATAACTAAACTTAAAAAATGGGAAATTTTGATACAGTTTCATTAGTTCTGCTTGATTCCCATGCTTAAAGGTGGTGTTGTTATTATGAACTGCTGGAGTCTAATATATCTCATCACCAGTGACTGTTAGGATACATGCTACTGCTGGATATCTGTAAGCTTAAAGGTTTGAGCACGCTCCTTAGCCTCTGGTTTCCCCAGCTAGGATATTATGAAGTCCTGACTCTAGAGCTTCATTATTCAAGTCAGTCACCAGTTAGTTTTATTAGTAATTAGGCGTTCTTTACATTACCATTTTAATTCCTTGCAATTTACATAAAATTTGAAAAATAATTACAGAGTACAAAATCAATGCTTGTGGCAGGCAAGAGTCTAGGTGTAATTGAGACTTGGATTTCCTAATTCATGCCAATGTGATTTGTTGTTTTAGCTTCTGGAAATCTTTATCAACTTTTCTTTAACCTCTGCAGGAGGATATCCATCTCCATTAAATTACCATTTCTTCCCAAAATCTTGCTGCACGTAGGTATTTCTTAGTTTAAAGTTTTGAATATTTATTTATTTATTTATTTATTTTTGCACCTTGCATTATTATAGTCCTGGAATAAGTCTAGAAATGGATTGCGCATTTTTGTCTCAGGTCTGTGAATGAAGTAATTTGCCATGGGATTCCAGATGCAAGGTATCTTCTACACTATATCAAGAGCAACTGTGTGCCGTGCTCGTACCGTATTTCTTGTTTCCTGAGGAGATATTAGAATATTGTAAATGAATAGTTATTGTCATCCGTTTCTTCCAACTTGCATTCCTATTGTTTTTCCATTCGTTTACATGTGAAAAAGAAAAGTTCATTGCTGCTGAGATGCTAACTGCTTGAATTTATATGCATACCTGTTTGCACTTTACATAGGTCCTACTAGCACTAAAAATTGTTGTTATTCTTCAAAACGTTTGACCGTTTTGGAGGTGCTTCTTGACTTCCATCTTTGGTACTACTGGTTCCAGGATTTTGCTATATGTTGATTTCCTCTTCCCCACTTTAACCTTATACATACTGACTTGACAAGAAAAAAGTCTGTCATAGTTCTAGTTTTGCAAAAAATTTGGTGAGGTCATTCTCCTTTCAATTGATTGAGACTGAAGTGTTGCATCTCCCCATGTGTTTATGTTTCTTTCAGAAAATTAGAGGATGGTGATATTGTAAATGTCGACGTGACTGTGCACTATAAAGGGGTACATGGTAAGGATTATCATGCCATCTCCATGTTAATAATTTCATAGCATTCTTGTAACTTATAATTTTCTTGTCATGCCTGTCTTTGTAGGTGACTTGAATGAAACATTCTTCGTTGGTAATGTTGATGAAGCATCTCAACGGCTGGTTCAATGTACATATGAGTGTTTGGAGAAAGCAATAGCAGTTGGTAAGTGCTTGCCCAGTATCTCATGACATGAGGTTGTATCCTATATGAACATAAAATTTCTAAACATAACTTGCCGTCTAGCCGATCTCCCCCTTTTTGCTGTTCATCTTTTTCCCCTTCTCAACTACTGTTCTTGATTGGCCAGTAGAATGTTTCGTGATGATTTATTTCTTTCATATTCCATCTATTATTAGTTCACCATTTCTCATTGATACTTCTGATATTTGGTCAAGAATTTCAAAATGAAGAATGAAGTGAAATTAGTGAATTTGTATTTGTAGTTCATGACTGTAGTTACAGATACCATATTATTTACTGTTTGTTAAGGCCATACTTATATATAGACATTGGAGTTGGTTTTTTTATATGACTGGATGATTTTTAATACCTCGGATTATCCGCCTCCCTCTCTCAAAAATAATTGGAAAATAATGGTTGTTCCCTATGATTTTCAGTTAAACCTGGCGTACGTTTCCGGGAAATCGGAGACATTATCAACCGACATGCTTCTATGTCAGGGTTCTCTGTGGTAAAAAGTTATTTGGCTGTTCTTTGTTTTTATCTGTCTCCCTTAGAAAAATATCCCTAATCTTCTCCCTCATTTTCTTCCAATTTGCGAATCAGGTGAAATCAATTTATGGTCATGGTATTGGAGAGCTCTTCCATTGTGCACCAAATATACCCCATTATGCAAGTATCCTGAAATTAGTGGCTTTCATTTATGTTTCCCATTTGATAGGTTAAATTGATAATTGACTTAAAAATGGTCTCATAAGTAGGGAAGGAACTGACCTCTTACACTCCAACTGGTTAACTACAGAATAGAAAGCATTAATTTATTATATCTTTATGCTATTATCTATGTGAAATTCAATAATGTTATAATTCTTTCGGACTATTAATACAACTTTTTAGTAGAGGATTTTAAATTATTTATATAAATTTTTAGTAGAGGATTTTGAATTATGTTTGGCGCGTTATTTACAGAAATAGATCTAATGTTAACATGCTAGATTTGATGGTTTCACATGGTTCATTCTGAACTTGACTAGGTGGGGGTTAGATACAGATTCCATAGTTGACGGAGGCAGGTAGAAACTATTAGAAACACTAATGTACATGGTAGGGCTAGTAATTTCCCAATGCTCACCCTCACTTCCGAGAAATAAAACTATTGTTAATGTTATAGATTTGATGTTTGATTTGGATTTTTTTGTACTTTTTACGTCAACTTGTTTTGAATTAGAAAAAAAATCATGGGTTCCATAGGGTCTACCTGACCAATCCTATCTTGACAGTGTAGGATTAGGTATGGGTTCCAGGTTGACAGTCAGTACAAGCTCCAAAATCTGAACCGTTAAGTAACATGTCAGGGCTGGGAACCGACTCAGGCACACCCATAGGAAATATTTTTGATAGGATATGTTATTTTTGTTGATTTGTATGTAATGGTGACACAGTCATGATATTGGTAAAGAATTCAAAATATATTATGCAAAAACACACAGAATGGCTTTGCTGAAGCTATTCAATTTTATATTTTCTGTTACTGTCTCGTGCTCTTCCTTTGTCCTTTTGGGTGTGGACCTTATCCTGAGTAGGAAATAAAGCAGTTGGTGTGATGAAGGCAGGGCAGACCTTTACCATTGAGCCTATGATCAATGCAGGTATTATTTTTAGCCATTTAACTTTGTCTTGGCAATTAATATCCTTTCCGTTTATTTGAAATATAACCCTCAATTGTAGGTGTTTGGCGTGACCGTATGTGGCCTGATGGATGGACATTTGTAACTGCAGATGGCAAATGCAGCGCCCAGTTTGAGCACACTCTTTTGGTAACTTTTCATTGACATTTAATATTAATATTTGGTCAATCAGATTATCTTGGCCACAGTTGCGGCTTGCTTGCATGTGGCCATGGATATCATTTTGGGTTGTTAGGGTAATTTAGCTGATTTGAACACCGGGCTTGGGTTATTTATTTAAGGGAAAATTACAGTAGCGGTCCCAAACCTTTGTCTTTTTTGCAGACTTTGCATAACTTTTGTTTTGTGTCAGCGGAGGTCCCAAACCTTTCAAAAATATGCACCGGATCAAGCAAATTGATTTTGACCAATTTTAGTAAGGGTAAAATGGTAAGTTTGCACTTTGTATTTTTCTAAATATTATTAACAATTAAACTAAAAACCAAAAAGAAAATAAGCCCCATCCACCTCCACCCCCACGCCATTTTCCCCTTCAAGTCCGGCCAGCTACTACCCAAACCGCTGGACATATATATCACTAGAAAGCCCTAATCACCTTCTACAACTTCCACCCAATGCCCTGCCTCGAACCCACCTGAACTCGTCGAAAAATTGAGCCAAAACAGCATGTTTAAATCCCCAAAAATGGTTGAAATTTCCAATTCCGGCAAGACCCATGTCATGTCTAACATTCCAGGTAATTATACACATCAAGGCGTCCCTGTCCATGGTCATCAATCATCCTTGAACGCACAGAATCAAAACTAGCAAGCTACATCTTCGAACACGACGACTTTGCGACTTTCAGATGGCTTTTCTGGCACTGGTGGTGGGACCCATGATCGTGGACAACCACCACAAGCACCTACTCTTCATGGCGCGTCCAATGAACATATGGGTCTTCCCCGATTTCACCTGCAAATGACAGTTCATTCTTTCAATCGATTTTGGTTGGGGTTCAATCGATTTTGGTTGGATTTTGTTTGTTTTGTATTAAGGTAGTCGATGGCAGGGCTGGTGGTTTTACAATGGCGAGCGGCGAAGGGACAGCCTATAGTTTGGTTGGATGTTGGGAGTGGAGAGAGTGAAGTTGGGGAAGGGTTGGGGTGATGGGGGTAGGGTGGGTTTATAAATTTATTTTTATTTTTGGGTTTTTTAATTTATTTTTTTTACTTATATTCAAATTTACTATTTTACTTTTACTAAAATTGGTCAAAATCAATTTGCTTGGTTAACTAATGGTCAAATGGATGGTTCCATCCATTTGGACCTCCGGTGCATATTTTTGAAAGGTTTGAGACCTTCGCTGGCACAAAACAAAGGTTAGGTTCAAGTCTGCAAAAAAGCAAAGGTTTGGGACCGCTGTTGCAATTTACCCTTTAAGTAATGCCACTCCAATCTCCATTTAAATTCCATGAACTACCATAAAGTCTGATTATTTATATGAATATGATATTGTTCTGATAGAGGTAAATGGGGTCTATATTTTTATTTCACGATCCATTTTGAAACCAACTCCTCACCATATTAGGATTTAGGGTACATTGTGATAAATGATGAATGCATCAAGACTTTGTGATTAAATCACGATTTCGAGTATGCTACTCTTTATGCAACGGTGCAGGTGACGGATACTGGGGTTGAAGTCCTTACAGCACGGCTGCCTACATCCCCCAATGTGTTCCCATGGTTAAATCCTTAAATCTAATGCTCCATTGTTGAAGGTGGAAATAGGACAAGATGTTGCCAGCATATCATGTGTTACTAGAAGTTAGAATTTATCGAGTTGCTTCAATAATCCATGTTGTGGAAGTGTTGTATGTTTAATTCTGAATTCTCAAATTTTGTTTGGAATTTTCAAGTTTCAAAATGGCAACAAGATTCGGATAGGATGCGCAAAGAATGATTTCATAACCACCAAATTGTAAATGGCTAATTTGGTATTATTGATCATAAGTGGTTGCGTCACAGGGAAGACATAGTTGTTATTTTTCTAAAGAACATCTTATATGCTGAATGTTACTATGAAGTGAGCAAATCATGTATTCATTTTTGATGAAAAATTTCAAGTTGTGATATTTAAAATAAATACCACATTAATTTTTAGTTGCAAAATAATAAATAATATTGATATCCTTTGATATGACATCAATTATAGCCATTGATTTTTACAATATCTTTTCACATCACTGGTCAGATTATGACACATGGGAGAGTGTCATTTTTAATGTCAGCAAGAATGTACATCTAGATTAATCCTATTAAAATAGCAATAAGGAGTTTTTATTTGTTATTGTAATGTTGAAAGAGTATTTTATTTTATTCAAAAGGCGAAACTTTCGTTTTAGTTTGATAAGTTATATTCAATAGGGGTCTTAGCTAAAAAATAGAGTTTTAGTAGATTTTAATAAAAGTTAATGAAAATGGTAGTTAAAAAGTTGTGGATTTCATGAAATTTATTGTTAATTTTGACTTAAATTTTTAACAACTTTTTAAGCTGAACCAAACAGGGCCCTAACAAATTATATAGCTCTAATGACACAAATTAGTGGGATTCTTACTGGCGTAATTGCATATTTCTTATTAAGAGAAGTCTAATCCATTTAATTTTGGTCTACGAAATTGACCAACTAAATGAAATTTTTTAAAAATAAATAAAGATTTCTCATTTTTAATTTTTTAACCCATTACGAAGAAAAAAAGTTCCTATTGAATTAAATGGAAAGACGCATTGATAAACAAATCCTAACAATCTTAATAATTACCCGACAAAATACTAATGACTATCAAATCCTAACCTTAACTATTATCCCTCACATTTTTGTATGTCGATGCCATAGACCCAAATTTTCAATTATGAGTCATGTTATTCATCCCCAATGGAATTACAAACACAGTTTAAATGACTCTAAATGATAGGTTAAATAAAATGTGAAATTAAATGACTTATTTAATTTCACATATCATTTAATGCCACATTAGACTGTGTTTGTAACTCCAGTGGGGATGAATAACATTACTCTTCAATTATAGAGATAGAAAAATGGATATCAGCGCCACCGCTTCCACCACCTTGTCGATCATGCTGGTGCTGGTGGCGTATCAACATCACCACCAGATGTCGCCATGGACCCATCTGGTTTCAGCCAATAAATGGAAGAACGAAATGAATGCTTTCAGTTGTGCAAACATGACGAGTTGTGTACTTGCAGGGTTAGAGATGATGCCGGTGGTGGCCGTGGTGGTGAATTGTGGTGCTGGAGAGAGAGAGAGAGAGAGAGAGAGAGAGAGAGAGAGAGAGAGAGAGAGAGAGAGAGAGAGAGAGAGAGAGAGAGAGAGAGAGAGTTTTTTTTTTTTTTTTTTTTTTNAGAGAGAGAGAGAGAGATGATTTTTAATTTTTTTTTTTTTAGTTTTGAGATTTTAATTGTTTGTTTGAGACTCATTTGTAATTTGTTGAAAATTTTAGGACCATAATTGTATTTATTTTTTAATGGAAGGGTACATTTGTCATTTCACATTTTTTATTCAAAAAATGGACATTATGAATTATTCTACACTACATTTCAAATAGGGAAGTTTCATGTTATTTCCAAAAAGGAGGGAGTTTTCGACAGTTTCACCAATAGGTCGGAGGCATTGTGTTGTTTAGCTCGTACAATGGTTCACAAATTAAAATCGAATCACAAAAGAGAACTTATTAATTAATTTAGTTTCGAAACTTTGTATTAACATGAATCTTAAAATTGAAATTGACCCTCACAACAAACAGATAATTGAAAATTAACACAGACCACTAACGTTAAGATCCATATGCTTATTTAGGGTTTGATGGCATTAGCCGCGTGTTTGTATCTTGCAACAAACTTGTCGAACAAGGCAAGGGCATTGCTAGTGACATGTGCAAGATTAAGAACCTTAGTTTTGATCAAGGCCCTGGCTTTATCCCCAATGGTTCGACCTGCAAACTGTTGGGCTGGATCCTGGCCATTTATTCTGCTCCCAGCATTTTGGCTGAAAGCGCGTTTGCAAATCACGCTTCTCTTAAATGTGAAGCACCTTCACTTGGATTGATGACACGTGGCTCTCTTGTGGCCATTGGATGCTTGGACTGTTGATATACTTGGGTTTGAGATATTTTGGCCCTTCAAACAATTCATTATGGCTGATTATCCAGAGACTTCTAGGGTTTCTACCTTTTGAGAGAAAAACGAGAGAAAGAGATAGGGTTTGATTCTTGATGCCTAATTTCACTATAAATTTCTGATTTAGAGTATTGTAATAGTTAGATCTACCATCGATTGTAATATTCTGTGTGAATATTGAGAGGCTGTGGTCGAAGTCCTCTGTTGTAATACTGTGTGNTCATATCTCTTTCTTGAACTCTCTGTAACCTTTGTTACCATTTTTGGCTGATTTAGTGCATCTGAGCATATTCCTGTTTATGGATGCTTAACGGGGGATGTAGGTGTTTGAAGCGGTCACCGAACCTCCGGGGCTACGGTCAAAACAATTCATATGTTCATTCTTTAATTTCTGCAGTTTTACTTTACTGTTGTGGTTATTGTTTGTTTCGATCCTTATATTATGTTGTGGTCTAGGCCTTACAGTGGTATCATAGCTTGGACTGGTGAAACAAGTTACCTAGATCTTTTGAGAAAGAGGTAGATCTACTTCAGATCCTAAAGGGTTTGAGTCTGCTCTTGAGAAAACCACAACAAATCGAGTTTATTCTTAAAACTCGCTTGGTGAGATCTTTTAAATTTTAAAGGTTTACTTTTAAAATTAGGGTTTGTTGATCATACCCCTGATTTTTCGAATACCGTTGAAACCCCCTTGAGACTATTTTTTGTCCGGAGCTCTTGCGAGGCTTCAGGAATCTGAGATAAATCAAATTTGGGTGTGTTCCTGGAAAATCTTGCTGGAGTGATTTTAGAAACATGGTTTGTGATCTCTCTTATTGTGTATTCACTTGAATCTTGATATGCTTGCTCTTTACTGAGACCCGCTGTTTGAAAATCTTGTTATACTGTGGGTATTACTGTTATTATTCTATGCTCCTACTGCTTCTTTGCATACTGTGTTAATTGTCATCAGCCCGTGTGTCTGAATTGTTTTTTAACATGGCTTTTGCAAAATTTGAAGTTAGTCAGTTTNAGGTAGTCTTGGAGTAACCTAAAGAAAGTGAAGGGTTTTCATTTAATTAATATGGGGTAGTAATTGAAATAGGTTATGGGAGTTTTAGGCATTAATTATTTTAAAAAAATGGGTCTGGGTTGCACTTTAAACTTCCATAAGATCTATTCATTTTAAAACACGTTGGACTAGCATTGGGCTTCCATTTCTTATGGGCCAAGCATAGTGTTTCTCATGGGCTATGGCTTGTAGTACTAGGCCACCATAAAATTATGAGCCTACTTGCATTTCATCATTTTTTTGGGGCTTCTACAAAGGTTGCCTTAGAATATGGTAGAGATGATCTAAGTACTGAAATGATAATCGATGCTTTGAACAATAAGGCACAAAAAATTAAGGCTGAGTCAAGTACTAGTCATATTGGGATCAACTTGTTATCAAAAGGAAAAGGTTTTATAAAATCTGATTACCATCCAAAATTTTCTAAAGACAACAAAAAGTGGACTGAAAGGAATAAGACCAAGTATAACTCCAATGGTAAAAAATGTTACTACTGTAGTAAGCTTGGTCATTTTGCTAAAAATTGTTTTAAAAAGAAAAATGAATCTAGAGAGAAAGTTTTGGAAGAAGGAAATACTGTTCTTGCTCTTAATAAAATCAAAACTAAGAATGGTCTAGTTCTTGTAAGTCTGGGAACGAAAATGAGTGATGAATGGATACTTCACTCAGGTTGTTATTTCCATATATGCCCTAACAAAAACTGCTTCATCGACTTTGCTAAAACCTAAGGGGGGCAAGTTATAATGAGAAATAACTATGCCTGTAAGATAAGTTGTATTGGTACTATTAAACTGCTTTTAGAAAATGGAAATACTTTGATTCTAAAAGAAACCAGATTTGTCCCAGATTTGAAAAGGAACTTAGTATCCTTAGGCATGTTAGATGACATGGAGTTCAACATTAATATGGGAAAAGGATAAATTAATATTCTTAAGGGAAGTGACTTGGTCATATCATCTCCTAAGGGACATGGTTTGTATTATTTGAAAGCTGTACCTTTGTTGGGCTTGATTGCTTCTACTATTTCTGAAAATTTTTCCTTGGCAAAACTTTTGCATGAGAGTATTAGTCATATTGGTAAAAGGGGTTTGAATTCTCTAAAAACGAAAGGTGTCTTTGGAGAATTAAACATAGGTGATTTTGGTTCTTATGAACAGTGTATAATAGGTAAACAAGTGAAACTTCCTTTTCCCACTGGCGCACACAAATCAAAACAAAAATTTGAGTATTTGCATGATGATTTGTGGGGTCCTACTTCTGTGTCTACTCTTTCTGGTTTTAGATATTACTTGCTGATTATTGATAATTTCTCAAGAAAAATTCAGGAGCATTTACTGAAATCCAAGGATGAGTCCTTTTGTGTTTTCAAAGAATGGAAAATTGAAGTTGAAAATCAAACTGATTTGAAAATAAAAATCTTGAGAACTGATAATGGCTTGGAATTCTGCAATAATGAATTCAATGATTTTTGTAAAGACCATGGCATTGTGAGACATAGAACTGTTATTC